TACAGAGTGTGTTACAAAGTGTGTTACAGAGTGTGATACAAAGTGTAATACAGAGTGTGTTACAGTGTGTGTGTTACAAAGTGTGAAACAGAGTGTGTTACAGAGTGATACAGAGTGTGATACAGTGTGTTCCACAGAGTGTGTTACAGTGTGTGTTACAGTGTGAGGTAGTTATGCGAGTCACCAGTAATTTTTTCTGGTTCTGGTTCCTTTAGATGCACAACAGGTCAGTAGAGTTTCATTTTAACCTTTAGAAGTGTGTGTATCTTTAAATTCAAACTCCCTGGAGAAATAATTACTGACACCTACGCAGCTTCACGATAATTCCTCCTGCACCCCTGCACTTAAATCTTGCCAGAACTTGCCAGGTAAGTGACTACAGGTGTGTTCTGCAGTGCTGCCTGTAATCACAGGTGGAAGGACAGCTGTTAGACTTCACAACACAAAGAAACAAGAATTCAAATGACAACAAGGACAGAACATGTCTGAGGTGAAAGAAATGTTTGTTTTTTTTAAATAGCTACAAATGAATTACAGCGTTTTGCACTTTTAACTTTTTATATGGAATTTTAAAATTGTAATTAAAAACATTTTATTTTCAGTGTTAGAAACAAAGCAGAGTTTATTCAGGTCTAAATAGTGGTAGTTAAAGTTTAAACATTTAAAAATGTCTCTTAACAGGAACAGGAGGAACTGCTTCTACCCTGAAATTCCTAACCTGGATTATCGCCGTGAGAAATAAAAAAATCTGTAATTGACTAGTGATATATGCTGCTGATTATCCATGCTGCTGATCTCATGCTGCTGATTATCCATGCTGCTGTATCCATTCGTACCCATCTGCTCACACAGACAGAGTTCACACAGTTCGTGCTGCTGTTATACCGTATTATTTTGCATTATTAGTGTTTAGTGTAAATCTTGGTTCATATCTTAGATGCTTATATACTGTTTCTTTTTACACTTTATATTTATGCTATTGTTGGATGTAACTGGGACAGTGTACATAATTTTGTTCCACCACATGTAAGACAATAAACCAATTCAATAAACTTGAACTTAAAAAAATGTATATTACAGTATTACATATGGTGAATTACCACAAAAATTAAGAAACTTGCTTCCATTTTTGCCATTTTAATTAGCTGAAATGTAATAATAAATGCATACAACAGTAAATTCCTATTAACAATTCTTAGCTGATTTATTGAAGGTTATCAAACAGTGTCATCCTTATCTTTTATGGTGAATATTTGACCATCGCATATGAGGTTTATAACCAGGATTTCCCGCCTTTGTTTTGGTTTTCCTGTGCTTATTTCAGCTGAACAAACTACTTTCTGCTGGTTTTAACGCAGGAGGTCTTTTTAAATAGTGACATATGAAGAAAATTAGCATCACAACAAACTAAATAATGAGGTTTTATTTACAGACAAGCAAAACGTAAAAATGCGAGCCCCTGAATTTTCATTCATTCAACCTTTATATATACAGGTTAGTCTCATTGAGCCACCAGGACTCATTTACAAGAGAGACCTGATTTTAACAAAGAGCACAGATGACGTACAGACAACAATAGACATCATATAAAAAGTAAATAGAAGAAATGATATAAAAACTTAACAAAAAAAACAGCTTCATTATAAAGTGGTGTAAAATGCTAAAAACAGGAGCATGTCTAAATAGCCAAATAGAGCAGTGAGGTTTGTTGAAGCATCAAACTTAAAATAAGCCTTTATTTTCACCAAACAAAGTGAAATTTCTAACATTGTTCAAGTTGCTTTTATTAATTAAAAAACTTGGGAATTAAAGAATCTGCAGCTTAATTACTTACTACTACTTAATTACTACTTCCTCCAGTTATTTAGCAGTCAACAATGGTGTACCACAAGGCTCAGTCTTAGGACCCACCCTCTTTACAATCTACATAAATAATGTAGGTAAAAACATCCCTAATGCATCCATACATTTCTATGCTGACGACACAGTTGTTTATTGTCGAGCTAAAACAGTTGCTAAGATTTTCCAGCTTTTGAATTCTGCATTCAACAACATCCAGACTGATTTGTTTCGCCTCAAACTTGTCCTAAATGCTGACAAAACCAAAGGGATGCTTTTTTCAAATAGGAAGTTGGTCCCAGCAGTTCTTCCTCCGATTTTATCCTCAAATGGTGTCCGCATTGAGTTTGTTGATTCCTATAAATATTTGGGTATCTTGGTCGACTCACATCTCTCTTTTAAGCTTCATGTGAAAAACTTGGTAAAGAAACTGAAAGTTAAACTGGGTTTCTTTTTCAGAAACAGATCCTGTCCATCTCTGAATGCTAGAAAACGCCTTGTATCTGTGACTTTCCTTCCCTCCATTGATTACGGTGATATTATTTACATGAACGCACCTACAAGAACCCTGCAGATGTTGGATGCTGTCTATCATGGTGCACTAAGATTCATAACTGGCTGTTATTATCGTACCCACCACTGCACCCAGTATTCACTGGTTAACTGGACATCATTAACTTCACGCAGACTCTCTCACTGGTACATTTTCATCTTTAAATCACTTCTTGGTCTGCTGCCTTCATACATCTCCTCCTACATGTCTCTGCGTGAGTGCAGCTACAGCGTGCGCTCTCAGGACATCATTACCTGCAGTGTCCCCTCAGTGAGGACTGAACTAGGCAAAAGTACCTTCTCCTACTCCGCTCCTGTTTCCTGGAATATCTTGCAAAAAGATTTGAAGCTCTCGACCTTGACCTCTCTAAGTGTCTTTAAGAATCTGTTGACTCCTGGCAGGGACCAATGCAGACATGTTCCTGTTTTTAGTTTTATACAATAGCCTTATAACCTAGCTGTTTTTTTGTTGTTGTTTTTTTTTGTTACCTTTTCCTTTTAGCCATCCTATTTGTAAAAAAAAAAAAAAAAAACTGTATTATGACTTTTTATAATTGTTTATTGTTGTTGCTGTTGTCCATTGTTGTCATCTTTCTTTGTTGAAATCAGGTCTCTCTTTTAAATGAGTCCTGGAGGCTCAATGGGATTTACCTGTCTAAATAAAGGTTGATAATTCTATTGTTTTGTTTTTGTTTGTTTTCGTCTTATTTACTAATGTAACCTGTTCGGGGTCATAGAAAGCCGGTGTCTATCACCAGCAGCTGATGGATATTTATAAAACATTTAAATATTTGCTTTATAGTCTATCCACCTTATTCCTACGTCCCATGATGCTTTGCGTGAAATATGTGTCCGACTTCCGGCAAAGCGAAAACTGCGTTTGTTTATTTGCGAACAGTGCAAGCGAATATTTTTTGATACCTCAGGGATTATTCATAAACAATTGTGTCATTAAACTACAATATATTTAGTTTTCTGCTGCACTGCTATCACTGCCATAAACACATGTTGCACTTTAACTGCAGAGAAAATCATAAAACTGAAAACGAACAAATTCTATAAAGCTGTGACCTCCATACGCCTGAAATCAGACCTGATGTCCTCGTCACTGTTTCCAATCCTTCTGAGGATCCGGCGTCTCTTCTCTGGTGGTTCGTTGTAGTCCAGACACAAAGTAGGACGCAGGTTTTCCTCCGTCGGCCGTTTCTTTTCAATTTCTTTTTTTTTGTTTTTACAAATCAAAACAAATAGCAACCTAAAGAACAGTCAAAAGGAAAAGTAGAGAAAAAACAGCAAGATTATAAGGCGGTGTAGAAAACTAAAAACAGGAACATGTCTGTGTTGGTTCTTGCTAGGAACTTAACAAATGTCTGAAGCCACAGAGAGGTCAAGGTCAAGAGCTTCAGGTCTTTTTGCAAGATATTCCAGGAAACAGGAGCGGAGTAGGAGAAGGCCCTTTTGCCTAGTTCAGTCCTCACTGAGGGGACACTGCAGGTAATAATGTCCTGAGAGCGCACGCTGTAGCTGCACTCACGCAGAGACATGTCGGAGGAGATGTATGAAGGCAGCAGACCAAGAAGTGATTTAAAGATGAAAATATACCAGTGAGAGAGTCTGCGTGAAGTTAATGATGTCCAGTTAACCAGTGAATACAGGGTGCAGTGGTGGTACGGTAGTTACAGTCAGTTATGAATCTTAATGCACCATGATAGACAGCATCCAACATCTGCAGGGTTCTTGTAAATAATGTCACCGTAATCAATGGAGGGAAGGAAAGTCATAGATACAAGGCATTTCCTAGCATTCAGAGTTAGACAGGATCGATTACTGAAAAAGAAACCCAGTTTAACTTTAAGTTTCTTTACCAAGTTTTCCACGTGAAGCTTAAAAGAGAGATGCGAGTCGACCAAGATACCCAAATATTTATAGGAATCAACAAACTCAATAGGGACACCATTTGAAGATAAAATTAGAGGAAGAACTGCTGGGACCAACTTCCTGTTTGAAAACAAGCATCCCTTTGGTTTTATCGGCGTTTAGGACAATTTTGAAACAGAACAATCTGACTGGATGATGTCAAAAGTGGATTGCAAAAGCTGGAAAGCCTTAGCAACAGTTTTAGCTCGATAATAAACAACTGTGTCTTCAACATAGAAATGTATGGATGCACGAGGGATGCTCTTACCTACATTACCTATGTAGATTGTAAAGAGGGTGGGTCCTAAGACTGAGCCTTGTGGTACACCATTACTGACTGTTAAATAACTGGAGGAAATACCGTTTTGTTTAACACATTTCCTCCGATCTGAAAGAAAGTTAGAGAATCAATCAATGGTGTGATCTGAGAAACCAATTTCTGAGAGCTTATGACACAAGATGTCATGATCCACAGTGTCAAAAGCTTTAGACAGGTCTAAGAAAAGTGCGGCACAATAATCCTTCGCATCCAGTGCTTCAACGATGTCATTAAAAACCTTCAGCGACGCAGTCATTGTGCTGTTTCCTGAAACCAGATTGAACATGTTTAATGAGTCCAAATACGTTTTGATTTGAGAGTTATCAGTTTTTCCTAGAACCTTGGCTAAAATGCAGAATTTAGAGATTGGTCGATAGTTGTTCAGTGAGGTGGGGTCACCTCCCTTCTGCAAAGTTCATGACTCGGATCTTACTAATGTTTTTCTTTACAATTTGTGTTTTTGTTGGATGTAACTGGGACCCTGCGTACATAGTTTCGTCCCACCTCATGTACCACGTGTGGTGTGTATGACAAATACATCTCTGACTCTGATTATAAACACAGATTAAATGTTTAATATACATATTTTTATATTTATCATTTATGTCTATGTTAGAGGCATCAGGAATAAGGTGGATAATATAACAAAATATTTTGTTATTCTTGATCATTCAACTAGCGGGAGCACGGACAGAGCTGTAGTTTTAGCGTTTGACCACAAGAGGGCGGTAGCGCTCTCGTGCCGTTGCTGCAACCTCCAGCGATGAAAACACGAAGCAGTTTGCGCAGCCGCAGTTCGAGCGGGGAGCGAACGCTGATACGCAGAGGCAGTGTTCTTCGTGGAGCTAAAGATGAAGCCTTTGAACGGTTGTTCTCAATATTTCATGCTTTAAATGTATTTTTTGTGTGATTTTAGATGGGAGTACTCAGCTACTAAAATATCTCGCACGTAAGCGAAAATCTGTTTTAGCCTAGCTAAACACAGCTTCGGTATATTAAGCACGATGTGGTCGGTTTAATTATTTATGCTGCTAAACTACATAATTTTTGTCATATTATAAAAGACTAGTTTCAAATATTTTTAAGACGTAATGCATTTTTAGGACGCGTTAGTCAGGCCTGCCTCCACGTGGTGAGCACATGCTGTTAGCATGATGCTAACAGGCTAAAACTGATGTTTATTTTGAAGCTTAATGTTCCTGCAGCCGTTCTTTGTGTAAATTTAAGGGTTTGATTCTCTGCTGATGACTGGCACTGGGCTCTGAGTCCTCCTGGAGACAGATGTGCACCTTCGGCCCTGACAAGCTGAAGTTTCTGAAGAGAAAAATGTTTAAAACTCTCGTGTTTTTCAGGTGAACATTGTGAACATTTCTCTTAACTTTATTTTCTTCTTCAGAGTTTGGTGTAAACTTGTGAACCAGCCAAGCTCGTATCTGCAGGAAAGTGAGTAAAGTTTATTCTGACATTAATAAAGGACCAGCAAGAGTGCTGAAATTCAGATTTAACCAAAAGCTTCCAATAAACCTTTTAAATTAAAATGTTTATCCTTCAACATGTTCAGCTCATCATGTCTGTCTGCAGATACATTTTGTTCAGTTGTTTTTTGGTATTAGTTAATTTAGGCCTAAAAAGTCCCAGTTTGAGATTATTTTTCTGCATGAAAAACAACTTTGTTCTGTAATTTATTTATTTCTCTCTTGATGACTGGCACTGGGCTCTGAGTCCTCCTGGAGACAGACGTGCACTTCTGCCCTGACAAGCCGAAGTTTCTGAGGAGAAATGCAGAAAATAGAAGAGGAAAAAATATTTTCGAACAAATGGTTTAAAAACCCTAATTGTTCTTTTCGTTTCAGGTTTCTGATGAGACGAGACCTGGTCAGGACCTGAACCGGGTTGGTTTTGGAGCTGAACGCTGGTCTCGCCTGACGTGCGTCTGCTCCGGACATCGTGGAGGCTTTAGAGACGATTTTTTTTTTTTTTTTTGTAGCGTCCCAATGAAAAATCAAGTTTTTAGATTCCCAGTGTGACGTCCTGCGCATCATCTGCTCTTAATAAAGTTTAAATTTACAATTATTAGTTTTGCCTGTTTTCTTTAATCGTTTGTGCTGCAGTTTATATCTTAACGTATAAAGTCCCAGGATTTGTTTAGATTGCAGACGTTAAAATTTACTAAAATCTGCATCATGTAATTTAATTTTACCAGATAATGAAAGTTAATAAAAACAGCCTTCAGACCAAAACTTTGAACCAGTTCAGGTAAAATAAAACCAGACAAGTGAAGAACTAACTGGACTAAAGCCAGATGTTTTTTTTTAATATTTCATCTTTGGTTATAAAAGCTGCAGAAAGACAACTGGATTATATCATGTCTTATAAAACATTTTTCTGTTCAAATGAGCTAAAGCCGAGCTCGACCTGAACATCTGGAGAAAACAATTCCAGATGTTTAAGGACGTCCAGCTGCTTATTTCGGGGTCACTGGTGCCCACATCCAGCCATCGCTGCGAGAGGTGGGGTCACCTGGACACGTCTATTCAATCTAACATGCGTGTTTTTGGTCTGTGGGAGGAAATGCACGGAGAGAACATGCAAATCACCCAGAAAGGCCCCCGGAGCCAGGATTTGAACCAGCGACCTCAACGTCGGGAACTAAACCCACAAACTGCTGAACTGAAAACCAGAGACTGAAACTTTTATAGTTTAGATTTTTCCCAGAAACCATTTTTAGATCTTTAATAAAAACTTTTTCTTTATTTTACTCAAACCTGTGAGGTCATCGATGTCTCGCAAGGGAGCCGAACATTTTCATTGAACGGGGTCGTTTGAGGTCGTATTTATTTTAATAACTAATAAAAGTTCGTCTCGACTTACCTGAGCTGAGAGGACGAAAGACGTCTGAGCTGTTTCAACGCTTCAATAATACGAACCACAAACTGAATCAAAACATCATTTCTGTATCTTTATTATAACTAACAATTTATTATCTCTTAAAACATTTGAAATTCATATATATTCCATATGAACGAGTGTATATGTGTTCCACATATACATAAATAATCTGCAGGTTACCTTCAGTTCAGATTCCGGTTTTTTTTTTTTTAAAAGATCTCTTAAAGGAAAAACGTTTTCTATCGAGTCGAACCAGTTCCACCATGAAGTCGCGTTTTCTGCTCGTTTCAAAACATCTTTAAAAACCAGTAACTTGAGGAACGTCAGAACACGTCGATAATCTGCTGATAATCTGCTGGTTCCCTGCAGGATGACCGGTCCGACTGTATAGAAAGATTTAAATACTTTTCATGATAAACATCTGGAAGACAGAGATTCTTTAGAACTTTGTAGATTTTTTTTTTTTTTACATCTTAAACCACGTTGGATTATTTTCATCGTCCTTATTGCTATTTCCTTTGAATTCTGCTCAGACCTTCCAGCTCGAAGCAGAAAAAAAAAAAAAACGAGCTTCTCCGATTCACGTGAAGTTTCAGAAACGACGCGAAAGAAAGCGGCGGAGCGGCGACTCCTCGTACGTTGGGAGTTCCTGCGGGAGACGCGAGGAGAGCCCTTAGAGTTCATCCGAGCCACGACGAGGAGGAGAACGACCGGAGGAATAAAAACGTGCGCGGGACGAGCGTTCAGATCAAACACTTCTCAGAGGAGTCCTGCGGCTTCGAGAGCAGCGAGGAACGTCTTTTTTAAAGTTCACGTGCTCAAATAGATTCAGGACGTCAGGATTTTGAATCGGAACGACTTGAACCAGATTTTATCCACAATAAACGCTAAAACTGAGACGATGACGTCATTTTGAGTTTGAGGGCATCAACACGTGTCGGGTTCATGTCAGGAGCAGACTGGGTCGAAAAGACTTTTAGAAGTAAAGATGGGCAGAGGTTCACCACAAACAGGAACTAGTTCAAAATAAAGTTCACACTGAATCTTCCATCATCTAGAAATGTCTGAGCTGAAAGGACGAGGCTGAAGGTCAGCACGATCCTGATCTTCGGGCCCTCAGGGGCCACTGCATTAAAACCAGGTCTGGTTCTGTTCTGGGCCCAGGAACTCTTCCACAGATCATCGTCTGTAAACACAGTTCATCCACAGATGCTGCTTAAAGCTCTATCAGACAAAGAAGAAGCCAGATGTGAACAACATCCAGAACCGCTGCCGTCCCGTCTGGACCAGAGCTCGTTTCAAATGGACCGAGGTGAAGTCCAGAACTGTTCTGGGACCGGACGGATCCAAATTAAAAAAGCTTTTAGGTACCAACGCCACGACCACTAAAGAGAAGAGGGACCACTCAGTGTGTTATCAGCACAGTTTAAAATCCTGCCTCTCTGATGGTATGGGGGTGCATTAGTGCCTCTGGTACAGGCTGGCAGAACAGTTCGAACCGTTTTCAGAACATCTGCTCCATGAAGGCCTCGCAGCAGAACCTGGTGCCGAACGGACCTGCCTGAAAATAAACATCCAGCCGAAACCCAGAACTGAGGAGTTGGGGTTCTGCATGAGACCAGAACGGAACAACATTCTCCTCCGGTCTCCTCTGGTCCTGCACGGTCAGGGACTGGACCGGGTCAGCATGTGTTGATGCCATCGAACTCTAAATCACATCGTTGTTGAACTGGTTCTTTACTCCATCGTGAATAAAATACAGATTTACGAGTTTATGAAGTCGATGAACAGAATTTTCTTCGGCTGCGAGCCACTTCCGTCAAAATGAACAAAACGTACCGTCGGTGAAGTAAATCTGTACGAGCTTCACGCTTTGAATTGAAACACCGAACCACACGTCTGTAAATGGGATTAAAGCTTCACGGAGAGCAGAAATTAAAATGTGCTTCTCGTCACGTAGAAACGTCGGCGTGACGTTTAGGAACGTCTGTTTATGTTTCTGTCACCATGGCGACGCTCCTCAGAGCCTTCTCTGTAATAACAGTAAGGACGATGATCAATAAACAGGAAGGACCAATCTGTAACTCCAGCGTTAAAGTTTAAAAACTGTAAGAACGATCAGTATTAAAATTTCTCTGGGAGCTCCTCAGCGGTTGCCTCCTGGGTTTTAGGGTGGGGGTGGTGGGAGAAAGGCCACTCCTGGAAGGAGCAGGGGGGGATTGGGCGGGAAAGAACAAGAAAATGGCAGTTTTTCCTCTTCCCCTCCCGTCTCCTTTCCCTCGTACCGAGGTCGTCCTCTAAAATAACCCCCCGGATGATTTCCTCTCCTCGCTGTCAGAGTCTCGTGTAACAGCTGAAAGCAGTCTGTCCTCTCCCGGTTCAGATCCGAACTCGGACCGTGAGTCCACACGAGCCGTTCGGCAAACCCCCACCATGTTGGTGTTTTCGTGCAGGCGTGGACGGGACGACCTCGGGTGCCCGTCTCTGTGCGGATCACCGTTTGATTCTCAACGCTGGAGGACCGGGCACTTGTTTTTGCTACAGATTTGTGAAACAGTGACCAGTCTTGTCTTTCCGTCGTCCTCACGATCCGGATCGAGAGGACCCGCAGCGAGGACTGAGCCCTGTCGGTGATGAGGTAAAAAAAAAAAAAAAAAAACACGCAGCGAGGACACCAGACGTCCACCTGCCCCCCCTCGTGGACTCTGAAAGACGTGATATACGGCGTCTTCCTACGCTGACCATGCACACGGATGACGCCTCGCTCCTGCTCACATGAATCACACTAAAAAATAAAAAAATAAAAGCTCCGACACACAGTTTGAAATCTAACGTCGTGCTCGCTGCTCTCTACTTCTACTGGAACCCGATCTGAGGGGGACCGGGTCTCGCCTGACCAGGTCTATAACCTGCAGAAGTTTTCAAACCTCTGCTGCAGCCGTGGAGTCTTCATGAGCTTTTAGTTTGAAGGGGTGTTTTTTTATTGACTTCCTGTTTGTGTTTGTGCATGCATGTATGGTTTGTGTAAATCAGTCTTTATGGACCGTCTCCTCCTTCTGAGTCTTCCTGCGTGAAATCTGCTCGCCCCTCCTTTGTCGTGTCAATCCACCGTCATGGCAGCACCCACTCCCCCCACCTTTAAATTTTATTTTTGTGAGTTTACATTTTGGATCTTCAGCTCCGGCTGCCGTCGTCCCTCCTCCTGTCCGTCTGTCCGTCCCGAGGTGAGAGGACAGAGATGGGAAACGGGCTGCTGGACAGCCTGAAGACAGAAAAAATACATTCGGAGGCTTTTGTGATACGATTGAGAAACATTAAAACTTTGTTAACATGAACATTAAGAATGAACAGTCAATGAACAGTCAATGAACAGTCAGTGAACAGCTAATGAGCAGTCAGTGAACAGCTAATGAGAAGTCAGTGAACAGCTAATGAACAGCTAATGAGAAGTCAGTGAACAGCTAATGAACAGATAATGAGAAGTCAGTGAACAGCTAATGGACAGTTAATTAACAGTCAATGACCAGCTAATGGACAG